GCGCCGCCGCCGCAGCCGCCCCCCTCCCCCCCTCCTTTTTTAGAGCCCGGTCCGCCTGGATCCGTTCCGCTCCTAGGAAATGCATGTAAGATTTCTCATACCAGATCCAGGCTCGACTGACACCAACTGCGTATCGTACACGTGTCTGTAAGTTACTTGCCTGGTAATTGCTCTGTGTCTGTCTAATTCTACTATGGCCTCCCGTCCAAATGCTGCTGCTGGTGCAGCTGCTTCATTGCACTTATGTGAGTTTAAAGGTTCAATTTAGCACTGTGCTCTTTATTCAATATGGAATAAACCATAACCCCAATAGCGCCAAACGCGAGCATCAATGCACGTAAAAATACTGCACCTAAGAGGTGACACAGACCCCCGACACAGGGGCGGGACCGACACGTCCACAGTAAATCCGTCCACAGAATGTGCGCGAAGTGAAAACACGTCCACAGGTTTACATCCAATGATTTGGACGTACATTAACAGATGCGTTTGTTACGTCCACAGTGTGGATTACTTACGAGCCGTGTGGTGGGGCTGGTGAAAATAGCTCCACAAAATCTGTTGTCATCTGTCTTTTCTCATTTACATCCACACGGATGACGTTCTGCTCGAGAGTGATCACTCTGAAAATCGAACAGTACGACAGTTGCAAGAATGGGGCAAAAGTCCTACACATCCGAGTGTAGATCAAGCTGGTCCTACTCAGAAACTCTAGGACTACGCTCTAAGCGTAGGGCATTCCCAACCCTGATAAAGTCATAAGATTTTCATAGAGTTACCGTGGGGTACATTCCCGGTTTGGGCTCAGTGCATATTGCCGCTCATGTCGCGCGCTACACTTGCAAGAGCAGAACAACTCTGGTTCACAATTCAAAAGTGTGGAACAGTTGATAACTTAGTTTATCAATGCAGAGGAGAAACAGACATACAGGCATGCGTTCACTCTTTGGTTCCTTTTGTCATTCCTGAGGATGTGTAAATCACAGAGGCGACAATAAGCGCCAACATTTGTGGAGTTATTTTTGCCAGCCTTCCACGGATCGTAAGTACATCCACACTGTGGACGTAACAATCGCAAGCATTAATTTACGTCCAAATCATTGGACATATTTTTGCAAAGCGCTTCATTTACGTCCAAACTGTTGTGGACGTATTTACCGTGGACATGTCGGGTTGCCCCCGTGACACATTCGTGACGCTTTTGAACCGCATCGCAGCATTTAAGGCGCCTTTAGTGCGCATTGCGCGCAGTTAATGCGTTACCAATGTGTCACCTTTTATGTGTATTTCTGTTCGCATTGAAGCGCTTCTAATGCATTGGTGCTTCTGGGACAACATTACTGCATATTATATATGTTTCTGCTTTTAATAAAGGTAATTTTATCTTTGCAGATAAAGGGTCCCCCAAACTGGATGCAATCCAGAGTTTCCTCGAAGAGTTTTTTGATGAAGAATGTCTTACATCATTGACGGACAACACAAACAAGTTCTGTGGTGACTTACTTGTCACACTTGAAGAAATGGCCCTATGTGTAACTACTGCCTTTGTGAGACACCTTAAGCTTGATATTGTACCACATCTTATGCCTGAGGAGAGGTTTCAAGCAATAATCCCTAACCTTCGCTGGAATACCACACTCAACACTGATTACTCCGATATGATCAATTATTTTTACATGTTGCAGTGGTTGTGGGAGAGAATGTAGAGTAAGGTTTTGTAGAGAACTGTGCCAAAAATAAATATTTCTCTGCAAACTGTTGCAAAATTTTTACTATTCTTCTAAACAATACACCAAACAAATTGAAACAAGAAGATTGCCAATTAAAACAATCTACCTTCTTGTAAAAATGTTACTAACAGGCATCACACAATTGGTTTAAAAAGAATGTAAATTAAGAAGCTGACAGTTTTTTTTTTTGATCGAACTTAACTACTAAAAAATAAACATGGACCTAAAACAACTCTATAAAACCAGTCTTTTTACTGTGCAATATATAAATAGCCATCAATAATTTAATTTGAATATAACAAGTAAACTACAGAGCTGCTTTACAGATCACAAAGAACACCTGCAGATGTGCGCGGCGCCTTCGCAAGCAAGGTCCGCGGCCCGGCCGAGGTCATGTCCTCTCCCGCCCGGATCCTACTCGGCATGCACTGCAGTGGGTGCACACTGCTGTGCAACCTGTAGCACCTCCCCGACAGCGGCGGCACCGACGGCACGCCCGGGTCGGCTCTTCCCCGTCCTGGGCGCGCGCCTCGGCGTGCACTGCAGTGGGTCTTGAGGTGAACACGGCTAAACGTGGCCTTGATCACCTCCCTGACGGCGGCAGCGCCTGGGTCGGCCCTTCCCCGTCCTGGGCGCACGCCTCGGCGTGCACTGGAGTGGTCCTCAGGTGAACACGGCTGAGCGTGGCCTTGATCACCTCCCCGACGGCGGCGGCGCCCGGGTCGGCCCTTCCCCGTCCTGGGCGTGGCTCTTGAGGCTGGAGGCTCGTGGAGGGCCACGACCGTGAACCAATATGTCTGTCCTCTATTACATTGCTGTTGCTTTAAACGGCGATGTCCTAAAGTACACTTTTAAAAGTTTTGAAGATACTGATCGCGTTCAGTGCTGAAAACATAAGAAAATAGTATTCCCAACTTCTCACTATTGGTCTTACTAGAGTAATGGTTATTATTATTGCGTTCGATGTAGGTACGTGTCTATTCACTGATACATTTTTGACATTTTTATCACTGATGTTTTTGTTTAATATCGCTACTTTTTTACGCATTTCGATTTTGGACGTGTTGGCTGCAGTGCGTACGCGGTTCTGGACTGTTCTCCAGCTAACCGTCAACGAAACAACGACGTGCCAGTTCATTCCTATCAGGCCTCGTGGGTCTTAAAAGGTGGGTTGAATACAATAAAAAATAAGCCATTGTCTTTGATAAAATCCACCTTTTGATCTTTTTTCAACAGCTCTTCGTTCTTTGGAAGATCGTGCCGCTTGAGATATCAGTTGAGCACCGGGATACTTTGCCAGCAGCGGCAGAGAAGGGTGCGGCAGCATCATGGCGGAAAAGGTGTGTATTTCTTCAAATATATATTCCCCAAGTAAACTTTTCGTCTGTTTTAGCTTTATCAGGTTAACGAGTTAAGCAAATGTTTATAGGAGTGAACCCAAATGTTGAAATAGATCTTATAATCATTCCATGTAGGTTAGTGCAATGATTTTACCTAGCTGTGTAGGAGTACTTTATGTAGTTCAGTTAAAAGTAAACCAACAGTTTTCATGTCTTTGTGACACAGAGTAACTTTTACAACATAATTATTTTATATAGATCAGTCTCCCTCTAGTCCACATCGTTTCAAACAAATGTGTGTTTCATTTTCGTTTCTTATGAGGTGATTCAACTGTCAATGTGCAGGTGGTGCCATACAAAGTATTTACCCTGAAGGATAGTAGATTTGTGTGCGTTCCCAATGATTGGCTGCATAAAAGAGGAAGGCAAAACGCTATTTGCCTTTTGCCTCCTACGCACCAGGACATAGCACAATTTTATGATCAAGAACCTGATTTCTTTTCCTGGGAGCATCATGTTACAGTCAGCGTAAAATCTGCAGGTCTCTTTCTTGTTTTAGTGTACTTTTTTGTGATTGTCAAGGGCTTATTAGTATAGATTCTGAATTTCAATTCAATAGGTTCTTTGCAAGAGGCTTTAAAACTACTAAGAGATACTTTAATGAAAAGTGTTCCACTCAGGCCCAACCAGACACCCAAAGTCATACCTGACCTCTCTACAACCTCAGTTTTAATAGATGATTCTTTTAATGAGCAATTGCTGTTGGAAACCAAAAAATTAACTTCCACGAAAGAAGTTTTCCAAACACTCCCAGCAAAGGAAATCAATGTGACAACACTGAATCAAGAGCTGCAAAATCTTGCCTAAAGGAATGGTATTACATTTAATTGCCTAAAAGAAATTCTAGATATACTACATAGGTTTTTTGTTGTTGATGTTCCAAAGGATCCAAGAACAATACTGAAAACACCGAGACCAAATGTAAAGCCGTTACACTTGGAGGGTCAAGCGGTGCTTACTTCCATTTAGGGCTTGCAGAAGTTCAGACCAGACTCTCTGCGGGGTGAAAGGGTAATGTGAAAGTCTTCTCGATAAAGCTCTTTAATGATGGGATGGAGATGGCAAAAAGCATGCCAGGGTCTGCATGGCCAATATTGGGAATAATCCCCGAATCTTTAGATGATACACCATTTATAATAGGTGTGTTTTATGACAGAAAGAAGTTCACTGTTCACAATATAGAAGATTATCTTGGAGACTTAGTCAAAGACCCACATGAACTACTTGTCACTGGAGTTTATGTGAAACGTGAACAGTATATTTATGACCTAGTTGGCCCAATTGTGTGTGATCGACCAGCAACAAGAGCTATTAAGTGCATTGTTGACTTCAGCTCTAAATTTGGATGTGATAAATGTGACAAGAGGAATTTGGATTAGAAAACGGCGGACATATCTGTCTTCTAATTTCACTCTTCGTACTGATGAGTCATTACGTCTTCAAGAAAATAAGGATCACCATACTGGAGACTGTCCTTTGGTAGCTCTACCAATAAATATGGTTGACTGTTTTGTAGTTGATTATATGCACCAATGCTGTCTCGGCACTCAAAAAAGGCTACTTTTATTTTATTTTGGGAAAGCTGCCAAAAAGTCAAGAATTCAGGTGGCGAAGAGAACAATTCTTAATTAAGATCTAGACCAGTATGGCAAGAAATGCCCAAGAGATTTTCAACGTCGACCCAGATCTCTCATGCACAATAAGGAATTCAAGGCTACTGAATTCCGGCAATTGATGCTGTATACAGGCATTTGTTTACTTCAAAGATGCCTTTGAGTCAGCTGACCTGTACCACCACTTTCTTCTCTTCTCATCATCAATGAGAGTAGTCTGTTGTCCTATAATGTCTAAAGATAAGGAGATTCTGAATGAGGTATTTTACGAATAAGAAGAACAGGAGGAATCCCGGCCGACGTCTGCTCCCGGACCATAGCAAAGCCACGACCAAGCGCACGGTTTCTCGCGTATCTCCGCTAAAACTGAAAAGAAGTCATAACTGTTCTATATCATTTTAAAGCTGAGAACCTCAAAAATCTGGTACACGAGAAACCGTTTAGTTATGCGCCAGTGACCTGCGACTTGTTGTGGTCCAAAAGCCGGGATTCCTTCTGTTCTTCTTATTCGTAAAATACCTCATTGGGCTGAAGCATGCATCATATTTTTTGTGAGAGACAGTGCAAAACTTTTTTGGGAAGCATTTTGTTGTTTACAACATTCACTACCTCCTTCATGTGGTTAATGATGTAAGAAAGTATGGCATGGTAGATAACTTTAGCACTTTTCCATTCGAAAACTACCTTAGAAAATTAAGAAGAAGTGTTCGGGCATACCACCATCCACTGCAACAGCTAGTCAACAGGTACCAAGAAAATAACCTGAACACTAATAAGGCTCAAAGAGAAATGACCTTGTTGTGCCCTCATGATGATGGCCCAGTTGTGTCTGGCATCCGTGGCTCACAATTCAAACGGTTGCAGAGCAAGACATTATAACTAAGTGTAGATTGTGACGGCGACAATTTTGTGAAAATTGGAAATGAAACTGCAAAAATTTTGAATATCATGAAGGGTTTATCCGGCACTGTGTACCTTGTTGGTAGAATTATGCTGAACACGACAGAATTTTTCAAGTACCCATGTTCATCATATGAACTCTGAACCCTTGTTGTAATTAGAATTTTGTCTAGGTTGAATATAGTGTTTTTGGCCAACCGAAAATGCCCGGAGCTCACCACTCAAAGAAAGGTAGAGGGTAGCAGGCTAAAGATAATGAATAGAGTAGGCCAGGGCGCCAGGCGACCGCGTAGGGCCGCCCCCAGAGCAAAACCAAATACTGATGTCATTGTAAAGTGTGCTTCCAAGGAAAGAGGGCGAATGCAGTTTAATTACAACAAACACAAACAGGTCGAGTCACAAAGGTTTATTTTAACTGTTCATAGATCAGGTGCAAACAATGCAATAGAGCAATTCAGAAGAAACAAGAGGCTGGGGAGAGAAAACTTTACGCAAAAGACGAGTATACAAGATTATACAAAGTGTGAAAGAAAAAAACGGGCCAATCCAAAAAAACAAAAGCCCTCCCTCCCCTCTCTTTTAAACTCTACGCCCAAATAGCAATACAAAATATGAAAACAGAAAAATAACCCTCCAATTCACGGGCGTACCCACGGCTCCGGCCAACGCCATGGGCTGTGGCAGCCATCCAAACTAAACACAAAGTGACACAAAATGCCAAAGAATTAACGGCCAATCACTGCCCCCATAAAGTTACTAGCCCGTAGGGCATAACTGCCCTAATACTCGGAACGAATATCACGTTCACTTAAAACAAAAATAAATTTGTACAAACTTGACTGCAAACCCTCGACCCGCAGGTCGCCGGCCAGACACAGGGTAGGGCACACCATGGCCTCCCGATGGGTACTCTTAGACGCTCAAAACCGAGTAGAGTACTCCATGGGCAGCCGATGGGTACCCTTAGACGCCCTGCGCCGCAACCCCCTTTACGACTTGCAGCATCTCATCGAGAATCGCGCGAGAGGGGTGCAGCAAATCCAGCCGGCCCCGGATCGAAGGGCAGAAACTACTAGGTAGCAAGGCGCCGTCCGCGCTCCGGAACAGGTGGTCAAAGGACACCACCGTGACACCATGCTTTTGAGCCAGGGAGCGGACCCAGAAGTTAAACTGTTTAATTTTGGGAGCCAGCCCATGCAGCGCGGGATTGGCGACAGGAAGCAGCTCACACGCCGCGACACGGCACCCTTGCCGTAGCAGAAAATTTACGAGAGCCTTGTACAGACTCCACACGGCGGCTGGCTCCCGCCCCTTTTTGAGGTCGTTAATCCCAACCAAAACAAAACATATGGGGGCTGGGTCCCACTCCCCGGCCTGGACGCGTAGCTTGATGCGTACCCGGAGCTCCTGGACCACCTGTCCACTAATGCTCAGCTCTCGGCTGGCGGGGTCGTTCGGGGCCCCGGGACGCGACAACAAGCGGCGAAGGATACTGTCGCCGACCAGGGTAGCCATGGCAACATGTGAGTAGAGCTTTTCTTACTGGAGTTGCGACTGAAGGGGCCGGAGCTGCTGTTTGGTTACCTGGCGAAGCTATCTCCTCCGAGACCATTACAGATACCGACTTGCCGTTTGCACAGACATGTTCCCTAAGGTCCACTGCTTCTCCACATAACTTCAAATCCACCGAAAAATGCACACAATTTAAACTGTGACTCGACAAAGCCCGCGGAGCGCCCGCGCGCCAGCCGCCGCTCCGGTCCGGTC